GTGAAAAACCTGTTGAGATTGATTGATGTACGGAGCCGTTTTTGTTGTTTTTGAAATATCAGTGATTGGCCCCAACTTCTTCCCATCTGTCCACAATGCTACCATGGCCCGTTATACCTCATTTGTATTGTTTTTTTCTTGATTTTCTCAGGTAAACATACTCTTAATATTGATTCCAAAACTTAATCAGTAATAGATCAGTTTAAAAAGGTATACAGTGGTGTCTTGCTATACTCTGTTTCATTCATTTTTGTGTGTGTTTGAGGGATTTTGACTCTCTCTGGTCCATCTCTTGGGTCTGTTTCTGGTCTCTCTCAGGTCTCTCTTTGGTCTCTCTCTGGCCTCTCCCTCGTCTCTCTCTGGTCTCTCTCTAGTCTCTCTCTGGTCTCTCTCTGGTCTCTCTCTGGTCTCTTTCTGGCCTCTTTCTGCCTCTCTCTGGTCTCTCCTGGGTCTCTCTCTGGTCTCTCTCTGGTCTCTCTCTGGTCTCTCTCTGGTCTCTTTCTGGCCTCTTTCTGCCTCTCTCTGGTCTCTCCTGGGTCTCTCTCTGGTCTCTCTCTGGTCTCTCTCTGGCCTCTTTCTTCCCTCTCTCTGGTCTCTCTCTGGTCTCTCTCTGGCCTCTCTCTGGTCTCTCTCTGGTCTCTCTCTGGCCTCTCTCTGGCCTCTCTTGGGTCTCTCTCTGGCTTCTCTCTGGCCTCTCTCTGGTCTCTCTCTGGCCTCTTTCTGGTCTCTCTCTGGCCTCTCTCTGGCCTCTCTCTGGTCTCTCTCTGGCCTCTCTCTGGCCTCTCTCTGGCCTCTCTCTGATCTCTCTCTGGTCTCTCTGAATTCAGCAGTCATGAGTTCAGTTTTACAGCCTTGAAAACATACATCTACTACTCGCAAGACTTTAACTTATTTTCAGTAATCTAACAACACATCACCCCTGTCATAAACCAGGGACCACTGTATCTGTAGAAACAACTCTCTCCTATAGTCGGCTTCTGATAGCATAAGAATCCTTCACAACGCCAGAATGTAATGTATTTTGTCCCGGTTGCACCCTATATTTAAAGCAAAAACACACTTTTCTGTCCATCCCCGATGGAAACCACATAAATCCAACAAACTGCTTTTAGTTCACACACAAATCTCATTCTTTTCAAGCCTCTTCCACTCGCCGCTGTAATTACTAGCTCTCCGTTTGCACGAGCGGAGCCGTGTTTACATGAACCCTTTGCTCCTGTTTTACACTGGCCGTCCACGCCTGGCCCGTCTCTGCCCTTTCTCTGTAAGCGGTAAACAAGCAGCAAAGGCCAGACAAGGTCCAATCAAAACACGAACTGTACACATAAAATAAATACTCAGATTTCTGTACGAGAATGAGACAATTATCTTTATACTGAAAGAGGAGGTGGATCTACAGCCTCCGTCCTGGATCTACAGCCTCCGTCCTGGATCTACAGCCCCAGTCCTTTTCCCTTTGCCCAATGGCTCTTATGTCTTTGTTATTAATGCATTTCCTGTCTTCGAACCGCTTGATTCTCTGATTCGTCGTTGACGAATCAACATCTTTGTAAACCCCTCCGAGTCGACTGCTGTTGTGATTTAGCGCTGTACGTAAATCCAAAATACAAGTCTAGGTACAAGTCGTTCCGAATGTTACAACGGAACGGGACGAGGCAGAAACAGCGATGGTTGTCTGGCAGGAGCCGTGTTACTGTCGTCTCTCTTTAAACTTTACGCAGACACGGAAAATAAATCCACTTTCCTTGTTTATGTCTCAAGCTTCAGCGCCAGGAGGAAATATTTCACATGAGCACAAAGTGTTAGCTAGTAAGGCTACTGTTAGCTTCTGTTTGGCGGGAGAGACAGGGTCAGACTGAGAAGCAGAGACCAGAGAGATAGAGAGCAGGGAGAGAGACCAGAAAGAGAGAGAGAGACTAGAGAGATAGAGAGCAGGGAGAGAGACCAGAGAGTGAGAGAGAGACTAGAGAGAGAGAGAGCAGGGAGAGAGACCAGAGAGAGCAGGAAGAGAGACCAGGGAGAGGCCAGAGAGAGAGAGCAGGGAGAGAGACCAGGGAGAGGCCAGAGAGAGAGAGCAGGGAGAGAGACCAGGGACAGGCCAGAGAGAGAGAGCATAGAGTGACAAGAGAGAAACCAGAGAAAAAGACCAGAGAGAGACCTGAGGGAGATCAGGGAGAGACTAGAAAGACACCAGAGAGAGAGAGAGACCAGAGAGGGCAGGACAGGCTGGAGAGAGAGACCAGAGAAAAAGACCAGAGAGAGAGATCAGAAAGAGTCCAGAGAGAGACATTATATCCTTCCCGCACACATCAACCTGCAGCTAAACCTGGCGTGCAGTGGGAACGAGACCGAGGAGGCGTGCAGTGGGAACGAGACCGAGGAGGCGTGCAGTGGGAACGAGACCGAGGAGGCGATCGTCAGCGTCTGTCAGAGGACGGAGCAGATAGAGTTAGCAGCAAAGCGACTCCGGGTCGAGACTCCAATCTCCCAGAGACGCAAAAACAATTCTAGGGGAATGACATGTTGTGGAAGTGGGAGCAGGACGCACAACTCAGCGAGACGCACAACGATAAGAAGCCCGCGGTCTAGGCGGGAGAGAGGGAGCAGGACGGGAAGGTCGAAAAGTTTGGGGAAGATTGAAAACAGAGGGATTTAAAGTAAGAAAGAATGCAACACCGTTAGGACGCACTGATGGGTTTTGAAACGGCAACACAACAATCACACACAAGGCTTTACAATCATAGAGAATTACAGTGTGTTCAAAAGAGAGAATACACAATCCTTCAGTTGTTGTAGCAAGACACAACTGTTTTTTTATTATCTCTCTCACACAGTCTCTCTCTTTCTCTCTCTCACACACACATACACACACAGCCTCTCTCTCTCACACACACACAGTCTCTCTCTCTCTCTCTCACACACACAGCCTCTCTCTGTCAGACACACACACAGTCTCTCTCTCACAAAGACACAGTCTCGCTCTCTCTCACACACACACGGTCTCTCTCTCTCACACACACACGGTCTGTCTCTCTCTCACACACATACACACACAGCCTCTCTCTGTCAGACACACACACAGCCTCTCTTTCTCACACACACACAGTCTCTCTCTCGCACACAAACACACACACACACGCACAGTTTCTCTCTCTCTCAGACACACGCACAGTCTCTCTCTCACACACACACACACACACACAGTCTCTCTCTCTCACACACAAACAGTCTCTCTCTCAGACACACACGGTCTCTCTCGCCACACACACACACACACACACACACACACGCACAGTCTCTCTCTCTCTCACACACACACACACACACACACAGTCTCTCTCTCACACACACACAGTTCCTCTCTCTCTCTCACACACACACACACAGTTCCTCTCTCTCTCTCTCACACACACACACACACACACAGTCCCTCTCTCTCTCACACACACACACACACGGTCCCTCTCTCTCTCTCACACACACAGTCTCTCTCTCTCATACACACACACACACAAGTCTCTTTCTCTCTCCATCACACACAAACAGTCTCTTCATCACACACACAGTCTCTCTCTCTCTCTCCATCACATACACCCCCTCCTGCCTCTGTGGCGTTGTGAGGACAGCACCCGGCTGGAAGAACTCTCACAAACACAATCTAGGGCACACGCTGCCTTCCATTAGCGCGGCCTGCCATCCTTATCCACTGATCTGCAGCATCTCACCCACACTTTCTAACTTTTATATTTAGAGGAAACTTTTTTTTTTTTTCTCCCCTTCTCGCCGGAGTGGGACTTCAGCGATCTCGACAGATAAAAACAAAGATGAAAGCCACAATAAGAGGGCAGAACTGAGCCGTAAAAATCCCACGGAAAGACAAAAATATGAATTAAGATCACCCTCTCAAGGTCAGAGGATTGCGTTGCGATTCCGGAGAGACACGATTTCAAAAGATCAGCGGGAAGACGGCAAATGAACGTGGAGAAATGTCCCCAGATGAATATGATAATAGGCACAGCGTGAAGTCCTTCCACATCTGCGCCGGAGTCTCCTCGGCTTTTTTAACGGTAAATAAAAGATCAGACTCTCAAAATGTCCGCCGCCCCCCACTGTGCCGGGATAAAGAGCTGTGTAAAAGAATCAAACAATAAATATCTCTCTCTCTCTCTGGTTTTTCTCTGGTCTCTTTCTGGTCTCTCTCTGGTATCTTTCTGGTCTCTCTCTGGTCTCTCTCTGGTCTCTTCCTGATCTCTCTCTCTGGTCTCTCTCTCTTTAGTTTCTCTCTGGTCTCTTTCTGATCTCTGCCTCTGGTCTCTCTCTCTTTAGTTTCTCTCTGGTCTCTCTATAGTCTCTCTCTGGCCCTCCTCTCTCTAGTCTCCCTCTGGCCTCCCTCTAGTCTCTTTCTTATGTCTCTCTCTGGTCTCTTTCTGTTTTCTCTTTTGTCTCTTTCTGATCTCTGCCTCTCTCTCTTTCTAGTCTCTCTCTGGCCTCCCTCTAGTCTCTTTCTCTATGGTCTCCCTCTAGTCTCTTTCTTATGTCTCTCTCTCTCCGTTCTCTCTTGTTAGTTGTAGATTTAACAAACTAGTCCAGAATGCCCTCAGTAAACCCCCCCCCCTCCTCCCCCACAGTTCACACACCCTCTCCCCCCCTCTCCGATCCAAAAGTGGAAAATCTCCCCTTGCATCGTCTCGCTGGCGGCTAATCTCGCCCTCTCCATCCGAATTAGCACCCTCATTATCGCATCCTCGCTGAGACTCTCACACTTCTCTGCTTCCCTTCTTCCCTCTCCTCCAGACGCTTCCTTCTCCAAACCAGCACCAGTTGTTATTGTTTGGGTTTTTTTTGGGCCGCAAGCTTGGGTGAATTTAGAGTAGAGCTTGCAACGTCTCTCTGGTCTCACTATGGTTTCCCTGTGGTTTCTCTCTGGTCTCACTCTGGTCGGTCTCTGATCTCTTTCTGGTCTCTTTCTCTATTCTCTCGCTGGTCTCTCTATGACTTCTCCCTCTGGTCTCTCTATGACTTTTCCTCTGGTCTCTCTCTGACTTCTCCCTCTGGTGTTTCTCTGATCTCTCTCTCTGGTCTCTCTCTGGTCTCTCTTTGGTCTCTCTCTGACTTCTTTCTCTGGTCTCTCTCTGGTCTCTCTCTGACTTCTCCCTCTGGTTTCTCTCTGGTCTCTCTCTGACTTCTTTCTCTGTTTTCTCTCTGGTCTCTCTCTGACTTCTCCCTCTAGTCTCTCTCTGACTTCTCCCTCTAGTCTCTCTCTGACTTCTCCCTCTGGTCTCTCTCCGGTCTCTCTCTGGTCTCTCTTTAACATAAGCCTGATTCACAAGGACAGGTTGTGAAGATGGCCGCCACAGAAGCGTCATGGCTCACTGTAATCCTGAAGCCAGGGTAATATTAATCTGTGGATGACTGGCGTAAAGTAAAGGGAACGGGGAGAGTATTTCAAACTGGGTGGACCCAATGAAATTTCTGGTCCCTCTCTGGTCCCTCAATGTTACCCCAATTTTTGTGTATGGGATTATGGATTTTGTGGTCTCTCGCTGGTATTTTTCTAGTCTCTCTCTAGTCTTTCTCTGGCCTCTCTCTGCTCTCGCTCTAATCTTCTACAGCCGGTCCTCGTGGGCCTGGTGCTGGAGTGTCCTTTGTGTCGTTGCGATCCCCTCTGTGCCTCTGTCTGTTTGTGCAGCAGAGAAACACATTCGTCACTGTCGCTCCTATCGCTGTAGTTTCTTGTTCCAGTCGTGTCCAACAAGTCACAGTCACAGAGAAACGAGAAGATTCACTACACTGGGACTGAAACCTCACTCTGGTCTTTCTCTGGTCTCTCTCTAGTCTCTCTCTTGTCTCTCTTTAGTCTCTCTTTAGTCTCTCTCTGGTCTCTCTCTTGTCTCTCTCTTGTCTCTCTCTTGTCTCTCTTTAGTCTCTCTTTAGTCTCTCTCTGGTCTCTCTCTAGTCTCTTTCTCTCTCTCTGGTCTCTTTCTAGTCTCTCTCTACTCTCTAGTCTTTCTCCACTCTCTCTCTACTCTCTCTTTGGTCTCTCTCTGGTCTCTCTCTAGTCTCGTTCTAGTCTCTCTCTGGTCTCTCTCTAGCCTGGTCGTACCACACCATAGTACAAATTACATTTCGTACTAAGGTCTGGATTTGCTCCATTGAGCTCCGTTAACAGGTGGGAGGGGTTAACTCCTTTTGCAGATTGAAACGATTGGATCTGAGTTTACCGTGATGTATGTAATGCGCCCGAGTCTGTCGTTTGAATTTAGCATTTAGCCTAGCCATCTTCTTTACCGCTAACGGAGCCCATGGGGAGTAGCGCCACATTTTTTCAAGCGATTACATTTGCTAAACATTCCTCTTGCTCCGGCTTCAATTTCTTGATAGAACCAGACCGGATTACTTTACAATCGCATTTTTCGCCATTGCCAAACTACGACCTTACCGTTCGACGCAGACTCTTGACGTCACCCACAACTAACTACAACACCTGCCTTCCGCGCTCGCTGGTTGGTCGGTCGAAATTCAACCGATTGGGACCAGACCCAGACGCAACATGCAGTGAAATTGATGATTGAGCGGAGTGTACGGATGGATAAGGCCAGGCTAGTCTCTCTGGTCTCTCTTTAGTCTGTCTCTGGACTCTCTCTAGTCTCTCTCTCCTCTCTAGTCTCTCTGGTCTGTCTTTAGTCTCTCTTTAGTCTCTCTCTGGTCTCTCTCTGGTCTCTCTCTGGTCTCTCTCGGGTCTCTCTCGGGTTTCTCTCTAGTCTCTCTTTAGTCTCTCTCTGGTCTCTATCTGGTCTCTCTCGGGTTTCTCTATGGCCTCTCTCTGCTCTCTATTGTTAGCTTGTTATTGTCCTGTGAAGCTAACGCAGTGAAATGAGTCTTTGTGAGGAGCTGCTGTTGCCGCCGGAGACGTCTGGGCCCCGTTTTATTATATTTATTTATTTATAACTTCCAAGAACGCTTAGCCGGCACATCGCAGCCTCTGCCCGGAAACTCTGCTCACGCCTTTCACGTCCACTTTCCCAAACTCTCACTCACCGGATAAAGTCATCGGCCTGCTTCGAATTCAAGATGGATTATTTTTTTATTTCATATTCGCTGTATCAAGTAGCACAGAAACTATTTCCTTAATATCAGCAAATATGTTTTTTTTTCTTCAGTTTTTAAGAGAATAATGTCGCCACTGAAATACAATGAACACAATTGTTGCGGTGAAGCCGAAGAGCTAACCACTGCACCACCGCGGCTTTTTCTTTTCAAGTCTTTTCAGTACTCTACTCTACTCTACTCTACTCTACTCTACTCTACTCTACTCTACTCTACTCTACTCTACTCTACTCTACTCTACTCTACTCTACTCTACTCTACTCTACTCTACTCTACTCTACTCTACTCTACTCTACTCTACGCTGAATGGGAGTGTTTCGTCTGGTCCTGTGTGTCCAGTACCATGTCCTTCTTTAGTCCCTCTTGGTCCTGGTTCTATCCAGGCCGAGCTGATACTAAAGTGTAACTGACAGTGATTGGTCAGAGTGCTGCTGGAAGCCATGGTTACCGAGGAATTTCCCCAGAACACTAGTTTGTTGTGGGTACGTTGCCAGAATGCGGTACCAGAGCGAGGTTACCGGACTACAACGAGTCCTGGTGGGTCCTGGAACGACTCAGCAAAAACCTGGCCGTGGCTTCTGTTGCCGCGGAAACAGACAGAGCAGTGTTTGTCCTTGAAAATCATGTCAAAACAGGGTCAACGGAATCCATTGATCCATTCTATTCATTGGTTTCAAGCATAAAATTAGTTATCGATTGGGATGGAACTCGCCCATTCAAAACAGATCATATTTTCATTGGAGTTGCTTAATTGGCGTGGCGACAGGAAGAGGGTTTCTCAATAGTTCATCTACAAAAAATGATGACGAGAGAGAGAGGCCAGAGAGAGAACAGAGAGAGCGAGCCAAGAGAGAACAGAGAGAGCGAGCCAAGAGAGAACAGAGAGAGACCAGTGAGAACAGAGACACCAGAAAGAGAGAGAGAGCAGAGAGAGCAGAGAGAGAGAGAGCAGAGAGAGAGAGAGTAGAGAGCGCCAAGAGAGAACAGTGATAGAGCATAGAGAGAAAGTAGAGAGAGCCAAGAGAGAACAGTGAGAGAGCAGAGAGAGAGAGCCAAGAGAGAACAGTGAGAGAGCAGAGAGAGAGAGAGAGCAGAGAAAGTAGAGAGAGCCAAGAGAGAACAGAGAAAGAGCAGAGAGAGAGAGACCAGAGAGAGAGAGAGAGCAGAGACAAAGAGAGAGAGAGAGACCAGAGAGATGGAGAGACCAGAAAGAGAGTAGAGAGAGCCAATAGAGAACAGTGAGAGAGCAGAGAGAGAGCAGAGAGAGAACGTAGAAAGAGCCAAGAGAGAACAGAGAGAGAGAGCAGAGAGAGAAAGTAGAGAGAGCCAAGAGGGAACAGTGAGAGAGCAGAGAGAGAGAGAGCAGAGAGAGCCAAGAGAGAGAGCAGAGAGAGAGAGAGAGACCAGAGAGGGAGAGCAGAGAGGAACAAGAGAGAACAGAGAGACCAGAGAGAACAGAGCGAGACCAGAGAGAACAGAGTTTTATTAGATAAAACCTTTGAACATTTTACAATTTCCCCTTTAACAAGTAGTGTTTTAAAATGCATGTTCTCCCTGTGTCTGTGTAGGATTCCTCCAGGTGCTGCAGTTTGCCATGACGCTGAAAACATGTACAATGAGTCAACTGTGTGCAGTGAGGTCCTGGATCTACAGCCTCAGTCCTGGGTCTACAGCCTCAGTCCTGGTTCTACAGCCTCAGTCCTGGGTCTACAGCCTCAGTCCTGGGTCTACAGCCTCAGTCCTGGGTCTACAGCCTCAGTCCTGGGTCTACAGCCTCAGTCCTGGGTCTACAGCCTCAGTCCTGGGTCTACAGCCTCAGTCCTGGTTCTACAGCCTCAGTCCTGGTTCTACAGCCTCAGTCCTGGGTCTACAGCCTCAGTCCTGGGTCTACAGCCTCAGTCCTGGGTCTACAGCCTCAGTCCTGGTTCTACAGCCTCAGTCCTGGGTCTACAGCCTCAGTCCTGGGTCTACAGCCTCAGTCCTGGATCTACAGCCTCAGTCCTGGGTCTACAGCCTCAGTCCTGGATCTACAGCCTCAGTCCTGGGTCTACAGCCTCAGTCCTGGATCTACAGCCTCAGTCCTGGGTCTACAGCCTCAGTCCTGGGTCTACAGCCTCAGTCCTGGATCTACAGCCTCAGTCCTGGATCTACAGCCTCAGTCCTGGATCTACAGCCTCAGTCCTGGATCTACAGCCTCAGTCCTGGGTCTACAGCCTCAGTCCTGGATCTACAGCCTCAGTCCTGGGTCTACAGCCTCAGTCCTGGATCTACAGCCTCAGTCCTGGATCTACAGCCTCAGTCCTGGGTCTACAGCCTCAGTCCTGGATCTACAGCCTCAGTCCTGGATCTACAGCCTCAGTCCTGGATCTACAGCCTCAGTCCTGGATCTACAGCCTCAGTCCTAGTCAGGACTTTGCATTAAAAAGATATAACGCATTAATATGGGCACAAAAATAAATCATGTCGTATATTGTTTTTACCTTTCGTCTTTGCTGCTCCCAACCAAATTAGACTTTCCATCCTTGCTTAGTCTCTTTCTATCAGTAACTGATTCATTGAAGTAAGAATATCACTTAGTATTTCCCAAAGTATAATCCATTCTTCAGATTTAATCAAAAAACGCCCCGGAATAGAGGCCTGTCCGTCCACAGGAGCGGATCCTTTGTCAAATGGTGTCTCCGTCCTGTGGGTTTCCTAGTTCTCCCCAAGGTTTCTTCACTTTTCCCACTGGGTTTTTTAAGAGGTTTTCCTTGTCGATGCAGGAGGGTCTTGTTGGACAGTTAGTGTCCAACAGAAAGGATTTGGTGATGATCAGGACACTTTAGCATTCTACAAAACATGTATGAACATTTTCTTCTGTGTGTGCTTTATATTTTTCATGTGTTTTAACTGGTTGATTCTCTAGATCTGTGTTGGTGATTCAATGGTTTTGTTAAGTCCTCTGAGATGATTCTGTTTGACCTAGGGTTATACAAGAATAAATTTGTATTGTATTTGTTTTGTATTGTAACAGGGGGGCATTCATAGTTGCTAATATGGTTGCTAAGGAAAAGCTGGAGTTTAGTGCGTGAGCTGAAGGCCTGCTGATTGGTCAGTCTTATTTGGCCCATATTGGATTTACAAAGATAATACCCCAATAAAAAAATGGGAGGAGTTTTACTTTTACATGTAAGTCAACAAGGGGCTAAACTTTGTCCATTAAGCTAGCTGGTTACGCATGTTCGATCGTCCATTCTCTGTACACAGTCTATGTTTCTATCCTCAACCCTTTTTTTTTTTCCCTGCACAAAACTCTTGAGAAAAACAGACTCAGACATAACTGGCCATCACAGGACCCCAGGCTAGCTCCGTCGCTGTGGCTTCCGACGTGGGTGAAAGGATCTGGTGTGACAAAGGGGGGAGGGCGGGTGAACCATCTCGCACACAGATGACCCACATCGGCGGGACAGGTCGAGGGTCCCGGGCTGAAGCTTACCCCGAGGGAGACGCTAATCTTGCGGACGAGAGGTGAGTCTGAGGGAGGGCAAAGGAGCAATGGGTGGAAGTCTGGCTGGGATTCAGAGGGTTTTTATTTTGTATAGCACAGTTCATACACGAGGCCAACACAAACGCAAGCAAAGCAAAAATATTAAAATCATAAAAAATCATGTACATTCCAAACAGGTGAGTGCACAGATAAACAGAACCGTAGGATGTGGTACAGATGGACAATGCTGAACCTGCAAGCGTCCATGACGCCCAACAGGGAAGTGCTCATGGATGAAGTTTAACTTGGCTCCTATTAATTATTATTGAAAAAACCCGCTAATTTCAAATACACAGCGGGATGGATTTTGCTAACACGACTGTTGCTGTACTGCTGATTATCTTTATGCGAGTTATTTTAAATGCCTTTCTGTTTGTGTCTGAGATGCGCAATACAAACAGGACTTGCCTTTGCCCATTATATATTATTATAGATATATATTCTTGTTATTTTATTATTAATTGTTCTTATTACATACATCTTATATCTTTTCTTGTTTCCGTGTTTTTATACAAACAAAAGCTGGGTAGCCCTGTATATTTAAACTTATTACAAAATGTGGGCGGACAGTGGCTCAGTTGGGTAGAGCCATTGGCCTTTGGAGCCTGAAGGTCGTGGTGTTCTGAGCCCACCATGGAGACCTTTCTCCACCGACTCCCACTGTTGACTGCTGTCGTTCGTGTCCATGGGCAAGACACTAACTCCCACTTTGGAAGCCCCCACTTTTCTCCAGGTACTCCGGTTTCCCCTACCACTAAAAGTATGTACAATAGGTCTGGCATTCTCCTCCTGTTCGGCGACCCCGCTTCCATCTCTGTGTGGAGAGAGAGGACAAGTGCCCAAAAAATAACAATTGTAAAACCGCCTGGTCTGTGAAAGGCGGTATATAAATAAAGATTACTTACTTACTATCTACTACTTCCTTACTTGCTTAAACAGTCTATGGAATGTTCCGGACCACCAACACGCCTTGGACTAACACCCGTCTATGGAACAAAGGGCTACACAAGCGTCACCTCACCATCCGCTCCTTGGCCTCCTGCTAGCTTCTTCTTAATTATGCATGAATGATGGAATAAAGAGGTGGTCTGGTTAAAGCGGGAGGCTAAGCTCGGACATTTTAGCCCTGTCCGTGAAATAGAAATCCGTATTATAAAGGCTAATGTCTGTCTGGGAGATATTGGGATTTAGGAGTGAACTAATCTGCCGCTTACAGGACCGAGGAGTGGACATGAGGAAGAAGTGAAAGTCTGAAAAAGACAAAAAGCTGAGTTTGGGTTGACATAACTCCAACTTTTTATCATTTTTATCATTGGAAGTTGGAATGGTGAGTTTTGGTGAAGTGGCCAGATGTAGATTCCTATAATTTTGTGCAAGGTTTTTGTCTTTTTACCCTATATGAATATTTAGTTTACGGTCCATTCATTATATTTCTTAACGTCCTGAGACACTGCTGGATCCACCTACACAGTTTGATGACATCACTGAATTGTTTTACTTTCTTTCAAATGCTAATGTTGCAGCCTTTGGCCTTCATCGTGCTCCTTTTGTGTTTTGATTTACGAAGACAACATTAACATACAAACACCAGAATCACAGACAGAGTGCTAAAACACAGATTCTTTAAAGTGGTGAGTCTGACACGACATACTTTTCAATAAAGGTCAAGGCAGTTAGAAGTTAGCTAGCAAAAGCCTCTATGAGCACTCTCCTATTGGACTTCATTGAGGTTAGCATTGTCCATGTACAGTATATACAGTGTCTGGTCATCATTCCATTCTGTTGATTGCCTATCACTAGTTTATTCTCTCATTTCTGCAGATTCGTCAGGCAAACCTGGTCCCGCCATGACTGTTTTATAATAATCGCAGCTGCCATCCCCCCCGTCCCTACACCCCCCTTCCCCCGCTAACATATGTATGTATCTCATGCCAAGGTAAACGCTTGCGCAGGTGGGCCCATGCTCAAACTCTCATTCATCAGCCAGCTTGACCGGCCAATTTATCACACTGGCAAAAAGGGCCGCATTCGTTGGAGAGGACGCATCGTGAAGCAGAGCTGAGAGAACACGCAAAAATACAGTGACACCCACAGTTCGGATGAATTCTCTGGACGTCGTGCTTCCAACGATTGCTGTCCATGGTCCTGACCGACTTCACTCTCTCTCCACCACGTGTCGATGTGTGTCTGTATATTTCTTTTTCTGTTGTATACGTTTGTATCTTGTAACTGTTTAGTGTCATTACAAGTCCTCTTTTATATCTATATCTAGTGGTTGATGCCAAATGTATTAAGCTACAACTTGACTTTTGTTATGACTTTGTGAATGTATACCGGCAGATGGTTTCTTTTTACTACAGACAGACGTGAGGCGATAATAAATATGTTTCACACATTTGCATCCTTTAAATGTCATTTGGGAAGAAACTTATGGATTCTAGTGATGTGTGTGTTGGAGTAGTTCAAAGGCCATCACTCAGACAATCCCAAAAACAAAGGACTATAAAACCCTCCTCAGTCTGGTTTCTCTCTCTGGTCTTTCTTTGATCTCTCTTTGGTTTCTATTTCCCTGGTCTTTCTGGTATCTCTCTCAAGGGTCTGGTCTCTCTTTGGTCTCTGGACTATAAAACCTTCCACAGTCTGGTGTCTCTCAGTGCCCTTTCTTTGATCTCTCTTTGGTCTCTTTCTCTCTGGTTTCTATTTCCCTGGTTTTTCCGGTCTCTTTCTGGTGGGTCTGCGGTTCTCTTGTGCCTCTTCCCGGTCTCTGTCTCTGTCTCTCTCTCTTCCTGGTCTCTCTCTTGTCTCTTTCTCGAGAGACACCAAAAAAAGAGGGACCAGACAGAGACCAGAGACAAAGACCTAAGAGAGACCCACCAGAGAGAGAGAGAGATCAGAAAAGAGATAGACCAGAGACAGCGATAGAGACCAGAGAAAGACCAGAGAGCTCAAAAACAAGTTTAGCTTTGGTCGAATAATGAACCTAACATATAATAAACCTTGTGATTTTGCCCTGTTTTTTCAGCTTTTTGTCTAAATAACATAAATTCCGGTTTCATGAGAAAGCGGACTCATAACTGTTGACTTCCAAACGCTCCGTTATCCTTTCACACCCAGTTTGACCTCACAGTGTGTTACTAACAGCTCCTGACTTTGGCGAAGCTCTAATTTGATTTAAAAATGCAACTCCAGTGCGCAAAAGGAAGAAACCCCCCCCCCCCCCCCCCCCCCAAAACAAACACCGGGCAAAAACCTGCGCCCGCCTCTTAGTATCCCCCAGTCATCGGCACAAATGGACTGTTTGAGACCGAGCCTGCGGCCACAGAATCACAGGGAAAACACTCGAGATAATTGAGAGACCGCAAATGTCTGTAACTGTCGGTAAACGCTGGTGCATCATGGAGCTCAAACTGAAATCACTTGCCGTTTTAAAAAGAATTAAGATGCTGTGGTTTTGTCCAGACTTCATTAGTGTGTCTGAGAAAGAAAACACCATGAAGAAAAGATCTGGAGGACTCTGGTTGGTCTATGGTTGATCTCTGGTTGGTCTCAGTCTGGATCTCTGGTTGGTCTATAGTTGGTCTCTGGTTGGTCTCTGGTTGGTCTATAGTTGGTCTCTGGTTGGTCTATGGTTGGTCTCTGGTTGGTCTCTGGTTGGTCTATGGTTGGTCTATGGTTGGGCTCTGGTTGGTCTCTGGTTGGTCTATAGTTGGTCTATGGTTGGTCTCATGGTTGGTCTCTGGTTGGTCTCAGTCTGGTCTATGGTTGGTCTATGGTTGAGCTCTGGTTGGTCTCTGGTTGGTCTCTGGTTGGTCTATAGTTGGTCTATAGTTGGTCTATGGTTGGTCTCTGGTTGGTCTCTGGTTGGTCTATAGTTGGTCTATGGTTGGTCTATGGTTGGTCTCTGGTTGGTCTCTGGTTGGTCTGTGGTTGGTCTCTGGTTGGTCTCTGGTTGGTCTATGGTTGGTCTATGGTTGGTCTCTGGTTGGTCTCTGGTTGGTCTATGGTTGATCTATGGTTAGCCTCTGGTTGGTCTCAGTCTGGTCTATGGTTAGTCTCTGGTTGGTCTATGGTTAGTCTCTGGTTGGTCTCTCTGGTTGGTCTCAGTCTGGTCTATGGTTGGTCTATGGTTGGTCTCAGTCTGGTCTATGGTTGGTCTCCGGTCTATGGTTAGTCTATGGTTGGTCTATGGTTGGTCTATGATTGGTCTATGGTTGGTCTCAGTCTGCTCTATGGTTGGTCTCTGGTCTATGGTTAGTCTATGATTGGTCTATGGTTGGTCTATGGTTGGTCTCAGTCTGCTCTATGGTTGGTCTCTGGTCTATGGTTAGTCTATGATTGGTCTATGGTTGGTCTATGGTTGGTCTCAGTCTGATCTATGGTTGGTCTCTGGTCTATGGTTAGTCTATGATTGGTCTATGGTTGGTCTATGGTTGGTCTCAGTCTGCTCTATGGTTGGTCTCTGGTCTATGGTTAGTCTATGATTGGTCTATGGTTGGTCTATGGTTGGTCTCAGTCTGCTCTATGGTTGGTCTCTGGTCCATGGTTAGTCTATGATTGGTCTATGGTTGGTCTATGGTTGGTCTCAGTCTGCTCTATGGTTTGTCTCTGGTCTATGGTTAGTCTATGATTGGTCTATGGTTGGTCTATGGTTGGTCTCAGTCTGATCTATGGTTGGTCTATGGTTGGTCTATGGTTGTATGAGATGGTGTTTGAGTATACAACCAGAGAGGGACCAGAAAGACCAGAGAGAGAAAGAGACCTCACATGGGTCCAGGTCAGGTTTGAAGTACTTGATTCTAGTCATTTTAAAAGAAGGTGTAAATATTTAACTGTATTGTAGATGTTTGCATGGTCTCTCTCTCTCAGGTCTCTTTCTGGTCTCTCTGGTCTCTCTCAGGTCTCTGTCTGGTCTCTCTTTCTTTCTGGTCTCCCACTGGTCTGTTTCTCTGGTCTCTTTCTGGTCTCTCTCTGGTGTCTCTTGTCCT